TGGCTTTACTCTGCTAAGCAATTGGCCCAAACAGCTTTATACACTAACCAATAAAAACAAAACATATACAGAAGGACATCCCACATCAGCCTTGTCTTGGAAAATCAAAACAAGACAAACAAAAATCTCTGAATAATCAGTCATCACTACAATATGCACAACAGGGTTCCAATCAGACTAGCAAGTTACTGTCTCACCAAATCATTAGTTCACAGATTTTTACTAATTAAAAAAAAATCATTTTCCTCTAAGTCAATTTCACTCTCCTTTCATGGCCTAACACAAATATCAAACTTTCAGTGGTATTTCTGTTCATTTTGCAGCATATCTACAAGGTATGCATACTAGGTAATGAGCACACACATAAGAAGTTTTCGGCACTCTGCAGGGCTCTTCTGTTCCCAAAAAATTATGACATTTTATTTCTTGTTCACTTACACAAATAATCATGCAACAACACACCCAACATAACACCCCACCTGCAGATCCCAGCCAGTGGCTTGGAGTTTTATCTCTATTCTCTATTTTCTGTGGATTATTCCTATAATTCCATTTTTGAGCAGAAACAGTATTCATTAATATTTTTATGAGCTAGGCACTTCCATTTGTCACCTATATGCTATGTGGAGCTGATTCAGATCTACAAGCCACCTATTATAGGCTTCATTTTGTGCTCTAAGAAATTTGGCTCTGAAGCTGTTGCCCAACTGTAAGCTGTATGAATTTGGGAAGTCACATATACCATTCAGTTCAAAATGACTATTCACAGCATTTAAAGGAGCTGGTGGAATATAATTCATACAGTCACTTAAGTTTTCTGATACATTGAACAGATTCTAAAGTACAGATTCTGGTTTACAGTTACTATCCAATCTACCAAAGTAGCTCATTTGAAGTTCCCCTCCCTTCTAAGCCTACCTGATAATCTGACCACTATGTAGATACCGTTGTTGGCTAATCTGTTGGTTTTGGTACAACTGTTCTTTTTTCTGAACCCATTAAGCATTAACGCAAAGCTTTTCTAGCTACATGTTGGCTCCAGTAGGATCTGGTGAGCCATTTAAATATAATGATTACACAATTCAGTTCTAATAACATACAAGAAAAGGTTAGACAGTGCAGAGCTGGAGGTAATGCCCAATTCATTTACATTTACTTTATACTGGTAAAAAAAAATATATCTTTAATAAGAGCTCACTGATGAAGTCAGAAAGTCCTTCAACAGGGTACAGAATGTATAACCCAAGGACAATCTGACTTAAACGAAGACAAAAATGAAACAGAGTAGACCCATAATTTATTTTATTTTTTAAGTATTTATTTATTTATTTATTATGTATACAATATTCTGTCTGTATGTCTGCAGGCCAGGAGAGGGCACCAGACCTCATTATAGATGGTTGTGAGCCACCGTGTGGTTGCCGGGAATTGAACTCAGGACCTTTAGAAGAGCAGGCAATGCTCTTAACCGCTGAGCCATCTCTCCAGCCCCATAATTTATTTCTTATAAGTATATTCTTAAAGGCTAAATCCTTTAAGATCTATAACTCTCAAATTAAAACATAATCTCAGTTTATGATCTGGCATATAAGGGTCAAAGTAACAAAATGTTTTGTATTGCATAAATTGTTACTTTTAATGTTTAACACATCAAACCTCTATAGACAGATCATCTGATTTTTAAGTCAAAATAGCAGTGATTTATTTGTGAGCTTCCTGTTTTGTATTTCTCACATGCAGTTGCAAAGTGAGAGTCAGCACTTATCTACTCCGACAGCACTAGCTCAGCCAGAGCCAGGAGTCACAACTCACTTCTTTATCCACCACCCTAACATCCTCAGCTCTGGATAGCTCTCAACATAGCCAGAACTCACTGCAATAGAAAAGGATTCTGGAGGTACAAACTTAGAAATGAAAAATACATTTTGTTATATGTCACAATTTTCTTATTGCTATCTTAGAAATATGTTATGTTCTAAGCAGGAATTTTATCTTTCATAATCTTTAGCTTCACTAATAAAGCAGGAAGTGGTTCCTAAAAAAGAAATAAAATACAACAAAAAATAAAATGATTGTTTAAGTGTGGGGGAAGTTTCCAGTTTGAAACATATCCTAATCTCTTAGAAACTGAACATTCAGAGACTTTGAAATGGTTACAAGTGAGTAACAGTAGAAGTCTAATAGTGGTCTACTCTGGTTTCCTTTAAAACTGACATTTACAAACAGTCTGAACTATACAACTCTGAACTTAGTCATATATTGTTTTAAAATGCCAATGCTGTTAAAAATGGAATGAGTTTGATCTCAACCAGGAAACTATCCAAGAAAGAACACTGTGTTCTATACCTGTGCTTTAACACCTGGATTAACTGAAGTTGTTCAATCTGAATATTATGAACAAAGTACTTTAATAGGAAAAAAAATCCTGCTTTCAAATAAACTCAATACTTAACATATACTGCCCCCCACCATGAGACAGGGTTTCTCTTTTTAGCTTCAGAGCCTGTCCTGGAACTCGATCCATAGGCCAGGAAGGCCTCAAACTTACAGAGATCCACCTGCCTCTGCCTCCTGAGCGCTGGGATTAGAGGCATGCACCACTGCTGTCCAGCCCAGCTTAACACATAACTCTTTAATTGTATTAAAGTTGTATATTATAAGCAAACCTTTCTTCAACAAAAATGTCATGACTGCTATTCAAGAGGTAATACAGTAACTTTAATAAAGGCTATTCTCCTTGTAACATGCTTAAAAGGTTATAAACATCTATCTAGGGTTAATTTCCCAAGAGAATATTACTTAAGAAGATACAATAGGGAAGAAACAACAAATGTTTAAAGAACTATTTGGGTTCTTAATATGTAAGTGCCATAAAAGTCATCACTAGTTTTGGGGGGCGGGGGGTTGACTTCAGCTAAATCAAAGGAAAAAAAAGGTTTCAAACTTCAAATACAGACTTTGATTTTCAAAGAGTTTAAAATCTGCATACTACTAAGCAAAAGGAGTCAGAGAAAGGAAGCCAGGGAAGGATGTACCGACCTACAAGCACAGGACCTTGAGCCCGAGGAAGAAAGATTACACAATTGAGCAAGTCTGAAGGAAGACTAAACTACACAAAATAGACCTTCCCAGGAAAAATAATTGTATGTATATATAACTTATACATATGATTTATTACATATATATATATGCATGTATAAAGTTACAAATAGCGAGAGACAGAGAGATTTGCTCTGATACCTCACAGCAATGCAGAGTAAATGCAATCTCCACTGGTAAGTAAGCATCAGTGCTCCATGTGATCAATTATCTCCAAGAACTTTTATTATGCAAATTTCTACTATGTGGTATTCCATATACAATCTGGTCAACCAATAGTATTAAAAATCACTGAGCCTTACTGTAGCAAGTGGAAATATACGTTTGCTTTCACATAAAATGATTTCTGTAACCTTGTTGCATTATTTATAATTCACGGTGATTTTTATAGTCCTATGGTTGAATACAGATTTTTCTTAGTGATTTATGTTAGGCTCTTTTAAAACCTCGTTCATATTTATAGCTTATTCTCCTTCCAGAAAAGGTAACATTCCTTTCCATGTATATATGTCATGATAAGCTTACAGACTGACAGAGGGTGGACACAGGCAGACTTTACACACCAGAAAGGAGATTGATGAATGACTAGGGATGACATTATAAGACACTTTAATGAGGGGGAAATAGAAATAAACCATGGAACTAAACAATTAACCTCACATGACTGAATTTTAAGGAGAGGTATATTTCAAATGTCCACATATTGGCTCATAGCATACATAAAGGTTAGTAGTTCACACAGGTAACATCTTGTTCGCTATTCTGTCACTACTAAGAACATGTTTCACGAGGTGCATTTTTTACTGTCAGCTGCTGTAAACAACCTAAAATAGGGGAGGAAAAAAACAACCTAGTTAAAAATAACTTTTGTAGAGAAGGGTGATAATTTTGAACATAAAAGATGAGAATGGAAGGTTGAGTGGAGATATGACAATGACAGGAGGTGTTGAAGGTAGAGGGTTCTTGTGCTTTCTAGAAGCCTGGGCTATAACATTATTCCAGCCTAGTCATCAGATTTCTCCTCAAATTTATCAACAGAGAACCACCTCGCTATGTCTATACCCTAAGGTACAAATTATCTTGCTACCAAACTACTTAGAAATAATCATCTTTGCAAATGTACACATGAGATAATGTGCTTTCATTATTGCTGTAAGGACCATTTATTTCATTTCTTCAAGTGTTTTCAAAATTTCTTGTTTTGTCTTTGGCTTCTCCTGAATTCCTCTTATCAGAAAAACTAATCCGCAACTAGGATGATAACCAGACCTTCAACTGCTCTCAGTGAGGAAAGCAGAAGGCAACCATCCTGTTAATAATGTCAACACTACTAAGAAGTGACTTAGACCATAAACTTAGTCGCATGGTTTTTTTTTTTTTTTTTTTTTTTTTTTTTTTTTTTTTTT